AGCACTCCCCGCGGCTCCTGGTGGTCTCTCATTAACAAGGGAGCCTGGGGAGGAAGAAAGCATCCCGCTGCACAAGCCAGGGCACAAGCAATGAGAGAGACCTGGGGGAGAATTAAGAGTAAAGGTAAAAACTAAAGAAACAGAAAACATAAACAGCAGTGGGAATGATGAATCCGAGAACTGGCTACTGGTAAATAGCTGTAAGACATCTAGACTTGGAAAAGCGCAATAAAGGGAGGAGGTGTGTGTGTGGGGGGACAAAAACACAACATTAGGAAAGGAAAGTTAACCAAAGATGCCGAGGAGAGCTCCCAGGAAAGAGCACAGTGAACACGCGTGGTGTGCTAGCTAACTTGGAGTGTTCAGTGGAGAAGCCTGGCATGTATTAGTTAGCTCTGGCTGCCGTAACAAAATACCACAGACCGGGTGTCTTAAACAGCAGCAGCTCATTTTCTCACAGATCTGAAGGCTGGGAGTCCAAGATCAAGGTGCTATCAGGGCTGGTTTCTGGTGGGACCTATCCTTCTGGCTTGCAGATAGTCACCTTCTCACTGTGTCCTCACAGGGCCTTTGCGCTCCAGCGGAGACAGGGATCTGTGTCTCTTCCTCTTCTTACAAGGACACCCGTCCTATTGGATGAGAGCTCCACCCCATAACCTCATTTAACCTTAATTACTTCCTTAACCACCTCTCTACAAATACAGTCACTCTTGGGTTAAGACTTTGACATATGAATTGGGGGGAGGGCACAAGTCATTCCATAACATGCTTTTCTAGAAAAACAAAATTGCCAAGACAAGTAGAAAACCATGAAAATGGACAAAGAACTATTTCGCAAAAGGGTGGGGGGGAGGTCAGAGAATTGAGTAAAAAAGCTCTTTCTAGCTTTTGAATCTCGCACAGCTGTGACACACAAACCTGACAAAAGTAACCCAAACCCCACTCAGTCTGGCATCTAAATGAGGTCCCACGGTACATTTGGAGAGAGAAGCACTGCACAACACAACACGGAAGGTTTTCAAAATAAATAAGGCCCTTGAATCAAAGAGGCCAGCAGGAGCCCAAAGGGGCTGAGACTTGGGGCAGCCTTGAACAAGAAGTGGCCCATAGAGGGCAGCGTGGGGAAGCCCTGGACCAGAGCTCAAGTGCTCAGAGGGGCCACCTAAGCTGTCCACATCCGCCTGCTCACATGCAAGGAGACACAAGGAGCCAGAAATGGAGCGGACACCCCACCCCAGTGCCGCACACACACTGTGTGAGTTTGGCGTGCTTGGGATAGCCTTAGGTCCTGGAGGATGTTCCCAGGGCTGAGGGTGCAGAGGCTCTAACTGCGAAAGGCTGTGAGGAGGCAGGTCAGCTCAGCTCAGTGTAAGAAACCTAACAATGGACCCCTGGGGAGGCAGGACGCTCCTGTCACATTAGGACCATCCTCCAGGGCTGCTCTGCAGGGGACGGCAGCACTGGGAGAGAAGCTGGCCTTGATGTTAGAAGTCTCTCCAAGGCTGAAGGATTCAGACTCATAGTGACTCTAATCCTCCTATGGCTCCATCCTAACCCATCGTGATAATTGCTGACTTGGCTGGCTGGGACGCAGCCTTTCATCTGCAGAAAACATCGCCTCTGCGCACTCTGTGACCTCCCCTCCACGCCTGCATTACCACCTCTCAGCAGCATCCTTCAAGACGATGG